TTTATACAAATTCAACGACTTATTTGAAGCTTGCATTTGTGAGTCAGTCTGCTTGCCCAAAGTCGCTTGGTATGTAATATATTTTCATAGTGCGATGGGTTGGTCTCCTTCAAGCTCTGATATAACAATCAATGAGTCATTCTTTTCAAGGGAGAGAGGTTCTGTCTTTGGAACCGGATTGATTATCTGCAACAACAAAAATGAGTTGCCGATGTCCGTGAAGAGGAAGAGGTTTTAAATGTATGTTGCAGAGTAATAAAACACAAACCTTTTTACCGCCTTTTATGTAGCCTATGGCGACTTCTCTCCTTAGCCAAGCTCGCTCTGAGAGCTCAGTGAATGAAGGGCTCTCGCCCTCTTTCATGTACAGCTCAATGTCCTGTGTGTCTCAAAGCAAACTCTGAGGTTTTCAGACCGCAACTATTTTAAATTTTGTGAAAGTTACTGGCAAAAATATTCAAAGGAAAAGTGTTTATCATTTTTAACCTTTACGTATATCTCATCACCATCTGCGTCTAGAATGTCCTTCCACACCTCGTTCAGTTCGCTGTTCTCAGCAACTAATTATAAAGAAAATAATATTACTGGTGTTTGGATTGCGGGTGGATAAACAAGAAACAAAATCGAATTTAAGAAATGCAACCTTGTGCTGTTACAAGGCTCATAACTTCCTCTGCCGCTATGAAAGTTAACGATGGCTTGAGTCCTGTTATCTGTATGGTTGTGTATAATGTTTCAGCAACTTATCCGTAAAAGTAGCTAACCAGAAAAAGAAAAACGCCTTTCAATACCTGCTTGCCAAGTTTTGAGTCAACGATTTCAGAGGCTAGATTATGTACCTAGAGAAACAGCAAGAGTAAGATGAATTTTACCCATGCAATGTGGTTAGGATTCGATGAAAAGTTTAAAGATTACCTTTACTCCAAGCTTGTTGCAGATGCTTTTAGCCTCCGGATATGAAATTTACCTTATGTGAAACTTGGATGTTCTTAATTTTCACTGAACCCATACTATCTCCCACTCTTCTTCTGTCCTCTAACGGTACATCCGATAATATTTCCTGTGAACAGAAACTTATAAGTAACTCATTATGTGAGAGCCAGCCGGAGAGAGATAATGAATGGTATATGATCATACCATTGAACTGCCTGGACCAAGATAGTTATCAAACTCCTCGATCATTTGCACAACGTCTCCACGCCAACCAAGTAAAAGTATAGATTCTGTGGGTCCTTTGATGGAATCTGATCCCTGTGTAAACCATAGAAATGAAAATCAGAGGTCTCAAAATTTTCGAAAGCCAGTATAAATCAAGCATTACAGGGGCCAGTTGGGAGTCAGACCTTTGATAAGGACTTACGAGGACGCATTATAATTTTTGCTAGCCGTGATCTTTTTTTCTCAAACACTTGCTTCCGAGTATCAGTCGCAACTGTAATGTTCTCAAGTTTCATGTCTGCATATAATAGTTGCTTCTTTTTCCAATTCAGAGGTGCGATAAACAATAGTTTGTCGGTTTCCATGAGCTCTTCGTTATCATTTGGGTGGAAATTTACTTTCCCATCTCGTAAAAGGCCACAGACCACAACCTGAAAGGAATACATGTAGAGAATGAAATTCGTAACAACTATCAAAAGGTACTGATTCGAAGAACGAAAAAACATTCTCCCAAGAGTCAATCCTACCTCCTGGAACCCCAGTCTTAATTGTCTATACTTCGTCCCAGCTAGATTGGGGAAGCTGCAAAGATTAAATACATTTTCTGCAACGAGTAGACTTGGTATTAATTAGTCTTGAATACATACATAATACAAACATGAAATAAAATTCTTAACATAGATAGCAGTAATGAAAGATGAAAGCACACCGTACTTGAGTAATTTAGTAGGTGCCTGTAGATCTTTATCAGGTCTTTTTGACGTGAGCATTGGACAAACAATTTCGACGTAACATTTTCAACCGGCTCCACTTTCAATCCCGAAATAGACTTGAGAAGATCATACGTATTAGGGCTTGATACCTGCATTCATTTCCAGAAGCAAGAAAGGTAAAAGATAAGCATTATAAACAGAACCATTACTGCACAATATATAGTTACCTAATTTACCTCTACAATGGTTGGGATCGATTCCATCTTTTGTATAGGTTGAAGGGCTAATACAGAAAGAAATGCGTCTGTATCAACTTCATACC